CAGTGCTCTTGATCCTTAGGACCTCCATGAGGCCACCCCCCTGTATTCATCCCTAAAGAACTGGATCTGTTTACATCCATTCTGGTGCTGGCTCTGCATCTGTTGGGGAACAGGCTGACTGAGATTCTCTTGGTGGAGAAATTCTGCTGCCGTGTTTGGTGTGCTCACAAAATGGGGCTACCTACCATGCTGAAAAATGTGCATTCGTGATGAATGAGAGAGCACAGAGACATACAGACAGACAGAGAGAGAAAGGAAGAGGAAGGAGGAGAGGGAGAGAGCAAGGGAAAGGGAAAAGAGAGGAGGAGAGAAAAGAAGATGGGGGGATGCGGTTGGCACTTAACCAAACTCCTTTGCCATGAAAATGAGTGTTATGGTAGTGATAACAAAACCAGGAAGAGTCTGAGCAGGCAGAGAAAAGTAGTGAAAACCAGGAGGAAGGAATAATGAAAACAAAAGCTGAAACAGAATGAAAGCCAAGAGACACAGCCTTTCCTTCTTAAATACTCAGTGGGACCTGCTGGGGAGAATGCAAAAATGGTTCCCTGAACATTTTCACGTCATCTGGGAAGACACAAAACCTCTTTGCATAAACTATAATTTAGGTGGGGAATAAACACATGGAATATACAGAGAGGCAGGGGAGAAGAGCCTTGGCCAATATAATCACACCCAGAGAGCAGCAAAGAAAGCTCCTTTGCTGGATGTTCTCAAAAGAACCCAGGCCAGACCACGTGCCAACCTCACTGGTGATGGTGAAACCCTGGACATGTTCCCTATGAGCTCAGGGGCTCTCCCCGTCCTCTCCTGTGGCAGAAGTCTAGAAAGGCCAGCTATAGCAACAAGACAGGGGAAAGCAATGGAGGGAAGATGCGTGGGTAGAGGGGAAGCAAAGTCGTCTCTCCAGAGGTGGATGGCACAGCTTCCCTAGCCCATGGCCTGGGATCAACAGACATTAGTGAGTCAAGTCACAGTTTCAGTGGGGTAGCAGGGAAAAAGGAACCCACCTGCAAAGAATGAACAGCAAACACTCTCTCAACCACACCCGGAGGAAAACACTGAAGCAACAATTCCATTTCAGATAACCAGGGGATCCCCTCAAGAACAGCTAATTCAGCACCTCTCCAGGCAGCACATGGCAGGACTTCTTTCTGCCTGGCTCCATCCCCATTTTCCCAGGAATGTCTCCACAAACTCAAACCAAAGAGGACGAGGACAGTAGCGTTTATGCCTGGGCTGGGCCGATTTGGGGAAAGTAGACTGCGACTCAAACATTAAACCCTTTCAATGGCCAAGAGATTCTTTTGAGCTTTACACAAAGTAACACCAAGACTGCTTTGAAGAAAAGAAAGGTCGTCCAGTATCATGACTAGAATGAAGGAAAGGAAAAAGGAGGTGGGGGACAGGGGGACAAGAGGCCACCATGGCTCGAAAGCTCCTACAAGCAGGAATGACTCCAAACACCTGGTAGTCCGTGAAACATTAGAAAAGCAGAGGAAGCAAAGACATGAGAGAAGGAAGGTCTTGCATCCAGGTCATGGAGCCTTTGGGTTTTCAAGGTGGGCCAAGAAGCCCATCTAAAGGGGGAAGGACCCTCTCTTCTTCCCCTGCAGCATAAAAGGCTTCTGTTGAGTGGGGCTGCAGGTACAGAAAGAAAAGTGTTTGGCTCAACCCATTAAGGAAACTCACCTTCTATCTCAGCCCACCTAGATTTTGATAAGGAGAGGTGGGGCTTGGTGAGAAGAACGCAGCCAGGGGCCAGCTGGGCATGACAGGGCTAGGGCCTGGGGAAACAGGGTCAGCTTGAGAGGGGCTAGTGGATGCAGGTGGCAGGAGCAGGGGATCAGATGGTGGTCAGCAGAGCCATGAGGGCAGGGGAGAGTCTCCCTCCTAGGGGCAGGCAGGTGGTGCCGAGGGGAGAGCGTTAGCTTCACGGAGGGAAGAAATCTCCCCAGACAAGTTCCTCTCAGCCCCAGATGGGCCCTGGACTCACTGGCTGAGCTATGGACTTTTGGCTCAGGACGGAATTCTTTCCTTCCGTCCTGCTGGGTGCAGGCCCAGTCCTCAGATCTGGCCAGTCAAAGATGGAACCCCAACCTGGCCGGGCCAAGAGAAAATGAGGTATACAGGGAGGGTCCTCCCAGGGAGTGGAGGGATACAATAGCCTTCAGGACCCAATGAATCCAATGGTAGCAGGTGTCAAAATGTATCACAACATGGCAAGCATACAAACAATCTCTTACCTCTAAGAAATATAGCGGTGGATCAGTGGACTAGAGTAGGGACAGGTAGTAGTAAGGGACACTAGTGTGTTAGTGTTTGATAAAGGCAAAGACCCAGGCTTTGGAGATCAAAACTCATTCTTTGACAAAAAACTGCTGGGATACGTGGGAAACCGTAGGGCAGAAACTAGGTATAGACACACGGTATAGACACCATATACCAAGATGAGGTCCAAATGGGTACATCATTTTGACATAGAGGATGGTACCATGCGCAATAAAGACAGCATGGGATAGTTACCTGTCAGATATATGGAGAAGGAACAAATTTAGAAGTAAGCAAGATATAGAGAGCATCTTGAAATGCAAAATAGATAATTTTGATTACATAAAATTGAATCGTTATTGCACAAACAAAATGAATTCAACCAAAAGTAGAAAGAAAGCAGAAAACTGGGGGGAAATGTTTGCATCAGCTTTCTTTGATAAAGACTTCATTTCTCAAACAGATAGAGAACTGTGTCAAATTCATAAGAATGCTAGTCATTCCTCAGTTGATAAATGATCAAAGGACATGAAGAAACAGTTTTCAGAGAAGGAAAGCAAAGCTCTCTAAAATCTTAAAACAAAGCGCTGTAAATCAGTATTGATTAGAAAAACACAATTGACACACCTCTGAAGTACCACCACACACCCATCAGATTGGATCCTAAGACAAAAAGGGAAAATGGCAACGGCTGGAGGAGATAAAGGAAAACTTGGACAACAATGGACAGTGAGTGGAGTTGTGAGTTGCCCTAATTATTCTGGAGAGAAATTTGGAACTATGTCCAAGGGGCAACAAAACTCTTTAAGGTAGCAACACCACTACTTGGTCTATAGTCCAACAAGATTAAAGAAGGGGGGGTGGGGTGGAAGAACCTGTTTGTACCAAATATTTGTACCAGCTCTTTTTGTGGGGGTTGAGAAGTAGAAATTAAAGGAACACACATCCCTGGGGAATGGCTGACCAACTTGTAGTATATGATTGTGATGGACTGTTATTGTGCTATGAGAACTAACCAGCAGGATGATTTCAGAAAAACCTGGAAAGACAACCACGAACAGATACAAAGTGAAGGGAGCAGAACCAGGAGAGTTTTTGAAACAGTAACAGCATTAGGGTAGGATGAACAACTGAGAATGACTTACTTGTTCTCACCAACACAATGATCCAAGAGAATTCCAAAGGACTCAAGATGTAAAATGCTATCCACCACAAAAGAAAGGACTCCTGGCATACGAAGAAAGACCTCATTACTTTCCTTCTTTTGTCCTTTCTTCCTTCTTTCCTTTCTTCATTTCTTCATTTTTCTCTTTCTTTACATTCTTCTTTTCTTTCTCCTTCAGTCTTCCTTTCTCTCTTTCTTCCTTTCTCTCTTTCTCCCTTTCTCTCTTTCTTTCTTTTTTCTTTCTTTCTTTCTTTCTCTTCTTTCTTTCTTTCTTTCTTTCTTTCTTTTTTCTTTCTTTCTTTCTTTCTTTTTTCTTTCTTTCTTTCTCTTTTTTGATCTTTTGGTCTTCCTGCCTTCATTCCTATACTCTTTCCTTCCTTCTTTTCTCTTTCTTTCTCTATTTCGTTCTCTCTCTCTCTCTCTCTCTCTCTCTCTCTCTCTCTCTCTCTCCCTCTCTCTCTCTCTGTTGTTCTTTCCTGCTCAGGTTTTCTTGGACAAAATGATTAGTACAGAAATAGTACACATGTATATCCTGTAGTAGATTGCTTACCTCCTCAGGGACATGAGAGGGAAATAAGGAAGGAATAGAATTTGGAACTCGAAACTTAAAGAAGAGGTGTTAAAAATTGTTTTGCATGTAATTGGGGAAAAATAAAATATTATTGTTAAAAATAACCACAATCAGTCACCTGACCCTTGCCAGCCCCTGGATTAGGGCCAAGGGGATCCATGGACCAAAGAGGGAAAGTTGCTGGACTCCAGAACTTTTTCTTTTGAGATGATCACAGTCTTCCTCCTCCATCCAGATTTTATCCCCTTCACTGCCCGGTTAACCCCAAGCCTCCCCTGCTTTCCTCCACCCTCCGTGAATGCCAGGATGTAGGGTCACAACGCTCCCCATCTTTCCCCCTCCCTCCAGCAGACATGGAAACCACTTGCTCTGTTGACACCCACCTGAGGTCTTCCACCTTCCTCTTTGAAGCAAGGTCCTCTGGGTCTTTTGCCTCATCTGCAGCACTTTCTCAGCCCTGCCTTGGGCATGACTACTCTCTCAGCCTGTTGACTTGGGCCATGTGTGTGGGTTCAACAGCCATGTTCTACCATGCACATGCTTACTCTCCCCTGCCCTCAGATCTCCAGGAATTGCCTGCTTCTTCCATGGCTTTGGGGTTCTCTGCATCATCTTCTTAGCTGGGGTTGAACTGGGGGAGCCTGAAGGCTCCTTTCCTGAGCATCCAGATCCCAAGGTCACTGTGACCAGAGCCAAACAACCCCATTGGCCAATCAAGGCAGCCTGATGCTTCCAGGTGAGTCATGGCCACAAGGTCTGCCCAAAACAAACCAGGGGCCAGGGTCCAACAACAACAACTGGCAGGGGCTGGCTCTTGCTCCTGCAGGGGTTCAGAGTGAGGGGCAAGTGAGCATGTGCCCAGAGCCAGCCCTGCGGCTGCACCACAGGATAAAAGCTGGGTGCAGACAGGGGCTGCCACAACCCACTGACCCCTCTCTCTCTCTCTTGAGACCTTCCACCCCTGTGTACACCAGGTTCCTCCAACCTCCCAGCACCATGGGCTGCTCTGGCTGTTCAGGAGGCTGTGGCTCCAGCTGCTGTGTGCCCGTCTGCTGCTGCAAACCCGTGTGCTGCTGTGTGCCAGCCTGCTCCTGCTCCAGCTGTGGTGGAGGTGGCAAGGGAGGCTGTGGCTCCAGCTGTGGGGCTGCAAGGGAGGCTGTGGCTCCAGCTGTGGGGGATGCAAGGGGGATGTGGCTCCAGCTGTGGAGGCTGCAAGGGAGGCTGTGGCTCCAGCGGTGGGGGCTGCAAGGGAGGCTGTGGCTCTGGCTGCGGGGGCTGCTGTCAGTCCAGCTGTGGCTCTGGCTGCGGGGGCTGCTGTCAGTCCAGCTGCGGCTCTGGCTGCGGGGGCTGCTGCCAGTCCAGCCGCTGCAAGCCTGTCTGCTGCTGTGTGCCAGCTTGCTGCTGCTCCAGCTGTGGTGGAGGCTCTGGTGGAGGCTGTGGGGGCTGCTGCCAGTCCAGCTGCTGCAAGCCCTGCTGCTGTCAGTCCAGCTGCTGCAAGCCCTGCTGCTGCCAGTCCAGCTGCTGCAAGCCCTGCTGCTGCCAGTCCAACTGCTGTGCCCCTGTTTGCTGCCAGTGCAAGATCTGATACTCACCCCTTGGTCTGCACATGAGAGAGCTGGGAAAACACAGCACTCAATAAGACCCATCCTGCATTCCCAGCTCCCTCCAACACTGCTCATTCTTCAGCATCCTGGCTGATCTCCCAGGCCCCTGCACCATGAGGGAACCATGATGTCTGGTTTGCCGCTTCTCTGCACAGTTACCCATGAAGCTGCCCTGACACAGGAGCCTTCCCGATCCCTCATCCTCCCTGGCCAAGGGGACGTCACATGGCGAAGGAACACAAAGGCCCAGCACACCACCCAGACACCCAGGAAAACCTCTGGGTCTTCTCCAAAGGATCATCTGCCCTGTCCCCACATGCTGGGACATTGCTGGAGATTCCTCAGCTTCCCAGCAACAGCCCCCATTCCCTGACTCCTAGGCTTTCTGCTCAAAAGTGTCCCCTACCCTATCTTGGGCATCTGTTCCCACCCCTGGGAGCCTGGACAATCATTTCTTTTCAATAAAACCATCCTTAACCCTGAAAATGTCTCCTTTTTTTGTTTTTCAAAGAAATCCTTCGGGTGATCTGTGTCCTGTGCCCTGAGCACTTAGTCAGCAGCTTCCAGGCAGGCTCATTCTGGGTCTTGGGATATTGGCCTGGCACATTGGGACATTATGGGACATTGGCCCAGAACTGTCCCATTTTGCGCCTTCCTCTTGGGTTCCACCAACATTGAGTGACCCATTCAGGGCGATGATCACAAAGTTAGGAGCTCGTATTTGTAGTGCCTACTCTGGGCACACGGCCCCTGGTAGTAGAGGGATTAGGGCCTCCATTTACCCCAAGGAAACCACTCGTGTCGGGAGTGTCGGGAGCTACTCCAAAGCCTTACTACTGCCCCTCTCCTCAAAGCCAGGTGTTCATAAGGATGCATAACTCCAGCTGTGGTGGAGTTGTACTGCCTCATTCCTCAGCTGATTCCAAATGACCCTGCATTCTGTTAAAAGACCCAGACCAGTGTCAGAGCAGACACTAAGGAGCCTTTCCTCCTCCATCTTGGAGCAGTGCTCTTGATCCTTAGGACCTCCATGAGGCCACCCCCCTGTATTCATCCCTAAAGAACTGGATCTGTTTACATCCATTCTGGTGCTGGCTCTGCATCTGTTGGGGAACAGGCTGACTGAGATTCTCTTGGTGGAGAAATTCTGCTGCCGTGTTTGGTGTGCTCACAAAATGGGGCTACCTACCATGCTGAAAAATGTGCATTCGTGATGAATGAGAGAGCACAGAGACATACAGACAGACAGAGAGAGAAAGGAAGAGGAAGGAGGAGAGGGAGAGAGCAAGGGAAAGGGAAAAGAGAGGAGGAGAGAAAAGAAGATGGGGGGATGCGGTTGGCACTTAACCAAACTCCTTTGCCATGAAAATGAGTGTTATGGTAGTGATAACAAAACCAGGAAGAGTCTGAGCAGGCAGAGAAAAGTAGTGAAAACCAGGAGGAAGGAATAATGAAAACAAAAGCTGAAACAGAATGAAAGCCAAGAGACACAGCCTTTCCTTCTTAAATACTCAGTGGGACCTGCTGGGGAGAATGCAAAAATGGTTCCCTGAACATTTTCACGTCATCTGGGAAGACACAAAACCTCTTTGCATAAACTATAATTTAGGTGGGGAATAAACACATGGAATATACAGAGAGGCAGGGGAGAAGAGCCTTGGCCAATATAATCACACCCAGAGAGCAGCAAAGAAAGCTCCTTTGCTGGATGTTCTCAAAAGAACCCAGGCCAGACCACGTGCCAACCTCACTGGTGATGGTGAAACCCTGGACATGTTCCCTATGAGCTCAGGGGCTCTCCCCGTCCTCTCCTGTGGCAGAAGTCTAGAAAGGCCAGCTATAGCAACAAGACAGGGGAAAGCAATGGAGGGAAGATGCGTGGGTAGAGGGGAAGCAAAGTCGTCTCTCCAGAGGTGGATGGCAAGCTTCCCTAGCCCATGGCCTGGATCAACAGACATTAGTGAGTCAAGTCACAGTTTCAGTGGGTAGCAGGGAAAAAGGAACCCACCTGCAAAGAATGAACAGCAAACACTCTCTCAACCACACCCGGAGGAAAACACTGAAGCAACAATTCCATTTCAGATAACCAGGGGATCCCCTCAAGAACAGCTAATTCAGCACCTCTCCAGGCAGCACATGGCAGGACTTCTTTCTGCCTGGCTCCATCCCCATTTTCCCAGGAATGTCTCCACAAACTCAAACCAAAGAGGACGAGGACAGTAGCGTTTATGCCTGGGCTGGGCCGATTTGGGGAAAGTAGACTGCGACTCAAACATTAAACCCTTTCAATGGCCAAGAGATTCTTTTGAGCTTTACACAAAGTAACACCAAGACTGCTTTGAAGAAAAGAAAGGTCGTCCAGTATCATGACTAGAATGAAGGAAAGGAAAAAGGAGGTGGGGGACAGGGGGACAAGAGGCCACCATGGCTCGAAAGCTCCTACAAGCAGGAATGACTCCAAACACCTGGTAGTCCGTGAAACATTAGAAAAGCAGAGGAAGCAAATGAGAGAAGGAAGGTCTTGCATCCAGGTCATGGAGCCTTTGGGTTTTCAAGGTGGGCCAAGAAGCCCATCTAAAGGGGGAAGGACCCTCTCTTCTTCCCCTGCAGCATAAAAGGCTTCTGTTGAGTGGGGCTGCAGGTACAGAAAGAAAAGTGTTTGGCTCAACCCATTAAGGAAACTCACCTTCTATCTCAGCCCACCTAGATTTTGATAAGGAGAGGTGGGGCTTGGTGAGAAGAACGCAGCCAGGGGGCCAGCTGGGCATGACAGGGCTAGGGCCTGGGGAAACAGGGTCAGCTTGAGAGGGGCTAGTGGATGCAGGTGGCAGGAGCAGGGGATCAGATGGTGGTCAGCAGAGCCATGAGGGCAGGGGAGAGTCTCCCTCCTAGGGGCAGGCAGGTGGTGCCGAGGGGAGAGCGTTAGCTTCACGGAGGGAAGAAATCTCCCCAGACAAGTTCCTCTCAGCCCCAGATGGGCCCTGGACTCACTGGCTGAGCTATGGACTTTTGGCTCAGGACGGAATTCTTTCCTTCCGTCCTGCTGGGTGCAGGCCCAGTCCTCAGATCTGGCCAGTCAAAGATGGAACCCCAACCTGGCCGGGCCAAGAGAAAATGAGGTATACAGGGAGGGTCCTCCCAGGGAGTGGAGGGATACAATAGCCTTCAGGACCCAATGAATCCAATGGTAGCAGGTGTCAAAATGTATCACAACATGGCAAGCATACAAACAATCTCTTACCTCTAAGAAATATAGCGGTGGATCAGTGGACTAGAGTAGGGACAGGTAGTAGTAAGGGACACTAGTGTGTTAGTGTTTGATAAAGGCAAAGACCCAGGCTTTGGAGATCAAAACTCATTCTTTGACAAAAAACTGCTGGGATACGTGGGAAACCGTAGGGCAGAAACTAGGTATAGACACACGGTATAGACACCATATACCAAGATGAGGTCCAAATGGGTACATCATTTTGACATAGAGGATGGTACCATGCGCAATAAAGACAGCATGGGATAGTTACCTGTCAGATATATGGAGAAGGAACAAATTTAGAAGTAAGCAAGATATAGAGAGCATCTTGAAATGCAAAATAGATAATTTTGATTACATAAAATTGAATCGTTATTGCACAAACAAAATGAATTCAACCAAAAGTAGAAAGAAAGCAGAAAACTGGGGGGAAATGTTTGCATCAGCTTTCTTTGATAAAGACTTCATTTCTCAAACAGATAGAGAACTGTGTCAAATTCATAAGAATGCTAGTCATTCCTCAGTTGATAAATGATCAAAGGACATGAAGAAACAGTTTTCAGAGAAGGAAAGCAAAGCTCTCTAAAATCTTAAAACAAAGCGCTGTAAATCAGTATTGATTAGAAAAACACAATTGACACACCTCTGAAGTACCACCACACACCCATCAGATTGGATCCTAAGACAAAAAGGGAAAATGGCAACGGCTGGAGGAGATAAAGGAAAACTTGGACAGCAATGGACAGTGAGTGGAGTTGTGAGTTGCCCTAATTATTCTGGAGAGAAATTTGGAACTATGTCCAAGGGGCAACAAAACTCTTTAAGGTAGCAACACCACTACTTGGTCTATAGTCCAACAAGATTAAAGAAGGGGGGGTGGGGTGGAAGAACCTGTTTGTACCAAATATTTGTACCAGCTCTTTTTGTGGGGGTTGAGAAGTAGAAATTAAAGGAACACACATCCCTGGGGAATGGCTGACCAACTTGTAGTATATGATTGTGATGGACTGTTATTGTGCTATGAGAACTAACCAGCAGGATGATTTCAGAAAAACCTGGAAAGACAACCACGAACAGATACAAAGTGAAGGGAGCAGAACCAGGAGAGTTTTTGAAACAGTAACAGCATTAGGGTAGGATGAACAACTGAGAATGACTTACTTGTTCTCACCAACACAATGATCCAAGAGAATTCCAAAGGACTCAAGATGTAAAATGCTATCCACCACAAAAGAAAGGACTCCTGGCATACGAAGAAAGACCTCATTACTTTCCTTCTTTTGTCCTTTCTTCCTTCTTTCCTTTCTTCATTTCTTCATTTTTCTCTTTCTTTACATTCTTCTTTTCTTTCTCCTTCAGTCTTCCTTTCTCTCTTTCTTTCTTCTTTCTCTCTTTCTCTTTCCTTCTCTCTTCTTTCTTCTTTCTTTTTTTTTTCTTTCTTTCTTTCTTTCTTTCTTTCTTTCTTTCTTTCTTTCTTTCTTTCTTTCTTTCTTTTTTCTTTCTTTCTTTCTTTCTTCTTTCTTTCTCTTTTTGATCTTTTGGTCTTCCTGCCTTCATTCCTATACTCTTTCCTTCCTTCTTTTCTTTCTTTCTCTATTTCGTTCTCTCTCTCTCTCTCTCTCTCTCTCTCTCTCTCTCTCTCTCTCTCTCTCTCTCTCTGTTGTTCTTTCCTGCTCAGGTTTTCTTGGACAAAATGATTAGTACAGAAATAGTACACATGTATATCCTGTA